CCCCCAAAAAAAAACCCCACCAAACAGGATATTTAAAAGATTATAAAGACTATAAAATCAAAGGCATATTTTAGATGGAAAATCATGTTGTAGAAGCCTCTAATATAGAATGAATTTAGCATTCTCCTGAGATGAAGTAATTAATGTCTCAGGAAAAGCAAAGATTCTCTAAATTTATAGCCAGTTCCTGTTTTTACCAGATAGTCACTGTTCTTCCTTTTTTTTTTTTTTTTTTTCCTTCTGATTCCCAGGAACATAGACAGTAGTTATAATAGGTACTTTATTCCTATTGCATATCTTGGTGTAGGAGGTTTTACCAATACCAACTCAATGTGCCCTCCTAGTATACTTCTTGGAAGAGAAAATAACAAAATGCTTAAGTATCATAAATACTTCAAACAGAGTAAAATTAGCACAATAACATTTTACCTCTGAAAATAAACTTTTAGGCATGTGAGACAAGTTTAAAGTTTAGCAAGTCAGTCTTATGAATTTCAGTTCTTCTAATTTATTCTGTTGTTTCTATATATTATTTAAAAGTAGGACATGACTCAGGATAGTTTAAAAGATTTGTCTTTGTTTTGAATTGCAATGCCTATACTGGATGAACTATTTATACATGTTTCCTGTGTTAAGGAACTGAAGAAAGTAACTACAGACTTGATAAGGTCCAAGGTCACATCTCAGTACAGGGTGGGAGAAGAAAATATCAATCTTGCAGCAAAGGAAAAACAGATTCAAGAACTGCAACAAAAAATCAGAATGGTATTTTGGAAATTAAACAAATTATGGTTTTGGTTAATATTTTCTGTTCTTCGTTCAGCGAACATCATAGCAATCATCTCTCTGATGTATTCAGATTAGCGATTCCTTTCTACTAACTGCATATACAATATAACAATACTATTTCCAGAATGACCTTTTCTAGATAAGTAAGTATGCTATGAATATAATTTTATAGTAAAAAAAAAAAAAATTATGGATAAGAGGGCATTTCAAAATAATTCAGTTTCTTTAAAGAGCCTCATGATGATTCACGATATCATGTTAATACAATATCACTAAATAGAATAGACAGTAATTTTAAATGTCTTTTACTGTTCTTCATGCTCTTATTTTAAGGAGACAGCAGTTAGTAAAAAAATTCAAGAAGAAAACACTCACATTAAAGAAGAAAAGCTGGTGAGTTGTTAGTACAACTTTGCTATTTAAAAATCACTTAAGAACTTGTGTGTTATATTTTATATTTAAGTTTCTTATTATACTAGGTTGTTAAAACTAATTAAATTCACTTGTTTATTCTTCAGAAATATTTTAATACTAACATAAATGAGATTTTACTCCTCAGTTGTTAGAAAGTGTATTAGCAAAACAAAGTACATTGTTTGACGCTTTATTCCAAGTCTTAACTTTTGTTTTTAAACTGAGATGGGAGAAATTTGGCACACCTGTGAAATAGTTGTTTACATATTGCTTATTTGTACTGAAGCAATAAGGTTTGCATAATCTGCTTGCTGTCCTACTTTCTGGTTGCCACCAGTTTACTGTAATACTGCTTGTATTGAAACCAGGTAAAATTGGAATCGTGTCAATCATATACAAAGGAAATGGTGTTCCATTCATACAGAACGTATACATTTAGAATATTAAGCTACACCTATACATAGCTGAACACAGTTAAGATTGTTGTCTATTGCAAATTCAGGTACGCTCCAGAGCAAGTCGTGATACTCAAACCAAGGTACATGGAGTCAAGTGTCAAATACAGCAAACAAATTATGTTCCCTGTAATAACAGCATAATACACTGCTTTGCAAAATATTAAGCATAAAAAGAGTGTTGGGGTTTTTTCTTAAACAGTTGCAGAATTTTCATTCTGCAGTTCATTAAACCAAACATGTCAGAGAAGTGTATTGTTCTCAAGGAGGGACAAAAGCAGTAGCTTGCTTGTATGCCCACAGAGCACTCATTGAAGGCTAATCCAGCAGTACTCTTCCAATCCATAAAAGCCTGTTTACATTTTGAGTTTGTTAAAAATACTTGCCAATAAACACAGGAAAAAGAGAGACATACTTGGGTCTGGTTACTCCCACAGTCCTGAATGCACTAAAAGCATTTATATGGAGATGCTTGTGGCATAATTCATGTGCATATTTGATATGTATTATCTAAGAGAAGGACTTTATTTTGTTTCTCTGTTTTGTTCTGTGTGAATTGCCAGGGTTTGTTTGTTTGGCTGATTTCAACATATGGAGGGTTTTGGTATAAATCTGAGGAGGGCTCTATTATACAGATCAACTTCATGTTTTCTCCAAGAACTTGGGTTAGAAGACCTGGATTTCTGTATTATAGAGTGCTACAAATTCACCGTCTGGATTAACTGAAGATAGTGGCTTCAGTGGCTCTTGGACTGAGGCTGAATATGCTATCTAAATTGTAGCTGATTTACACTGTACTGTATGCAGAGAAGCAATCTTGTCTAGTTGAGTGAACACCATACTAGATTTAAAAGACATGGCCAGCTCTACTACCAACCTGTTAGATGACACTGGGCAAGCCATTCCACATCTCTGTGGTTCAGTTTTCTAGATGTAAAATTGAAATAAAGATAAATTAAACTTCAGTGCAAAAATACTATTTATCTCTGCATAAGAGTATACATGCATGAAAAGGGATGAGAATACACCCAAAATAATGATTTTATTTTTAGTAGATACCTGAATGTATGTACAATAGAACCAAGAATAGATAAATTTGAAAGGTCTCTGCACTTACATAAAAGTACTTTGTTTTAATAATATGTTCCCCTCTCAATATATTTTGAAGCAACTGAGCACATTTAAGACTGTCTTCTGCCTGAAACTCAGGGGTTTTTTTCCTGTGCAGGTGGTCTTTTAGTAACTACTGTTCAGGTCTTTACGGAGTAGAGATTGGCTTGGCTAGATCGTTCCCTCTGTCTTTGAATCTTTGGAAATGTGTTTGTAGTGTTTAATGTAAAATGACTCTCTGTCTCCATTCCATCAACGTTTTCTGCTAACTGCAAACTTAATGGCAGCAACCATGGGTTTGTAAATCTATACCACTTTAATCTACTCATTTTGGGTGGCTCTTTTTTTAGAACTTACTCTTCTTGAAGTAACAATATAGTCTTGATGAAGATATGACAAAAATTCAGATAGTGACAGCAAAATCTGATGTATTCACACTATATGATGCTAATGTGTGGTAGTTCACATGTATTAGGACTTAATTCAGGAGATACAGAATAATGTCACATAAGGGTGATCCATTAATGGAAGTGATTACTTGCCTGTCATATAATTTCTCTAGGATTTTCCATATTTTCCAGAACTAAAAAATGGTACCATATAATTATTCTGTTAGATTAATTGAACTCACAGAGGGGTTGGATTTGATATATCTTATTCAGATTTGCACTGAAGTATGTGTAAAGTATCAATGTATGGGTCATTTTAATTATAAGAAAAATTCTCTGAAAAAGAATGTTATACTAATGTTACCTTTTCCAAGGCAAAAAGCCAGAAAAACCTGGAGCAGTTCTGATTTCTACCTACAAGCCATCCCCAATGTTGATGCTGGAGTACATTTTTATATACATGATTTTGTAAACACTGGCAGAATAAAAAAGTTAATCTAAAAGACATAAATTATCTAATGTTTAAACTTCAGAAACAAAATCTTATTCAATGTATCCTAATTTGTTTGTATCAATAAGGAGATTCTCAGCTCTCTACAATGTGTGCAGGAGCTGCTTCAGCGAATAACCCAAACGAATGTTAGAATGGAAAGTGAATTAAATACACTGAAAGAAGACTATCAGGTCAGAATTTTCTTGATTAGACAAGCTGCTACTACCTGTTATATAAGTATTTTTAAAGTCCAGGGCTGTTAAAGACATCTGTATGCTTTCCAGAACTTTTGACCTCACTTCCATTGCTCCCTCAGCTACTTAACTGTCAGCATGAACCTTGAAGCACAGTCTATGGTTTCCCTCTTTTAGTTCTCCCCCTGAAGTAAATCATGGTTGCCATTCTTAGCCATTTCTGGAGGGTAAAAACAGAACATACTGGGGGTTGCTTTCAAGTATTTTGAAATCAAATGAAATTTTACTTTTCTTTTCTTATAATTTTCATGTAGGTATACATTTCTTTTCTGGAAAACACTTCAAATTTCAGATCTTCATAGCCAGAGCTTGTCCCAAGTTTTATTAGAACAGAGGGCCTAAGAGCAAACACATCCTTAGCCATTTCTTGCTGTGTTGTCTGGTGTCATATTTATGCTAGAGGTGGTAAGTAGTCACGCTGGAGAGTGTGGAGTTGCAGAATTCCTCAGTTCCTCTTTGAGCGTGTAAAAGTGGCCCAGAACAGTTTAGATTCTAAATCACATTAGCAGTCAGATTGGCCCACAGTGCACTAAAGATTAAGGTCATATCTGTTCTGGTCAGATGCGCCATGCAGAGTTCAGGTCCAGCCATTAATTGGACTATTAATAATAATTATCTACTACTTGTCCATACATAATCACAACTATTCCATTCTTTGCTTGGCCTGCGAGGCCAAGGTTTTGAACTAGGATCTCGGTTAATTTCAACTTAAACTTCCTGTGTGCATGTATACGTTTGTTTCTAAGTAAATGCTTTTATGCTAAATTGAAATTAGATCCACTTCATGTAAGCCTTTACTTTGTCTTTTAATAGATGTAAGCAGTTTGCCTTCTGCCACAATATAAATATATTAATTCTGCATTTTGAGTAAGCAAGTAAGGTTAAAGATGAGTTATGTTCTCCTAAAATTTCACTAGGAATTAAAGTACTTGCTTTGTAGTACTGGATAAAGCTGTAGTGACTGGAAGAGAAAGAAGTCACTGACTTCAGATGTATAGATTCCTGTATTTGTATTAGTCTAGAGTGTTGGATTTTCATGACTTAAAATTCTTTGATTTGAGTGCTCTAGAACCAAGAAGACATGCTTCTCAACTGGAGAACAGTCCCACCAGTTCATTATGAATCTTCAGAGTTCTCCAGCTCCTCTTTCATATATTGGCTTTTTATTTTTTAAGATAATTGAAATTACATTGTAAATTAAACCAGAAGCTTGAGATTAATTAAATTAGTATATAACCTTAGTGATGATGACTTTCATAATACAGGGGGCCCTTTAGGATCTTTGTGTCAGGATTATTGACTAGCAAGTGTATTCTAAAAATGTTTTTTTCTGATAGTATTTGAGCTATTCTTTCCCATCTCAGATAAAGTTTATTGTATGCCTTAAAGCTTCAGCTAAAACTGTGAATAGTAGCTGTGAATCTTATCTTTGAAGACTCCACATAAATGTCTACAAGTGTAAGAAAAGTATAGCTTGTTTTCTTGGTGTTAAGGTATTAATTGAGTACAAGTCTGTTTTGCAGCCTGTACAGGCCAACAATTGATTTCTGATTGCAATTATACTAATTCTGATTAGAGAGCCTGGTTTGACTTGGGTCCTGTTTATATTAGACATTGGGAAGGTATTAATGTTTTCTATTTTTGTAACTACGGGACAAACTATATCTAATCATCAAAGCTTTAGTGTAATTAGAAGTGAATGTCACATGTTCTTGTTCTTTCCACATGAATTCATGCAGTTATTTTGATTTGTCAGAAATGTCTGTCTTTCTGTTTAAACAGTAGTCACAATACATTGTTCCTTTTTTATGACTACTCATTTGGCTGACAGTTTGATGCAATTACTGGGATATTCCAGGGAATGAGATGTTAACTGCTTGGTTTTTTGAGTGTGTTTCTTTTTTTTCTTTTAAAGCAACAAATGGAACTTAAAAAATAGAGATCTGAATATATAACTTGAAGGGTCTACCCACTTTTCTGCCAATTTTGAGAGCTACTGCTTTTGTCTTTATTGATTCTAGAACCACAATATGATGAGTGGGGTCTAAAGGTTATGTATTATTCTTATGCTCTATCCTACATCCCTGTTGAATTTGTGGACCCTGCTTATCAAGAAAAGGAGTTTCTTCAGAATAATAGAAAAAGGGAAGGAATGATTGTGCAGTCCCACGGAAATATTTTTATTCTTATACTCACAAAAAATTGCTGCTTATTTTTGGGCTTAAGATGAGAATACTTAAACATTCAAGAAGGATCATGCTGTCCTTTCTCGTTCTACCTATGCATACTTAGTGCTAGGATACCAATGTCCTCATGAGTTCAGAAAAACAAATTATAACTCTTACAGATGACAGAATACTTGAATACAAGGAATTCAGGTATTCCTCTCTCTGTACAATTGGCTTTAACATATGATCAGTTCTATTCACCTGCTACTCCTGATATTCTGCCCTCAGAGCTATGCTGTGAATAACTATTATATTCCTATCCCAGAGGAGGTTGCATTTGAGATGCAAGTAAAAGCATCCTTGGAGTTAAAGCAGGTTTACCAATGACAGAGGGTCTTGGATTCCTAGTTTATAGAACTGGATAAAAGGTGCTACATCACAGTGTGATTAATCAGACAATGTATTGTTGAATTGTCTCATCTTTTTAATTATATAATCTGTCAGAGAAGGTCCATTATATTCTTATGCATCACTTTTTCTATATGTATAAAAATGCAAGGTAGTCTGAATTTTCCTGGTGTTAATACCTGTAAGGTATATTTGTTTTAATAGGGTAGCTAAATTAACACAGGCATTTTAAAATTGATGCTAAGAGAATCAAGAAGTAGACCCATTTTTAGTTAAAAGATTAAGTAAAAAGGAATTGCTTTGGAGCGTTGCCTCCATAACTTAAAATTTTTCAAGTGGACTTTCAAAGCAGCCCAGCAGAGTCATAAATATGTAGCTGGTCATATAGCTACATGCATTTCAAGTTAAGTTTACATTATCAAATATATTTGTGTCATCTATATAGGAGATAATGGATGCACTAAGTCCTTTATCTTCCATATTGTTTGCTATAAAAATGTGATAGGATAAAAATTTCCAACAGTACCTGAGATGTGTGTGAACTTACTGTTGATTTACACAAGACTGCTTTAATTTAGCACAGTAAAGCTGAAAGTTAACCCCAAAAATGTTGCAAGTACAATGACGATAGTATAAAACTTTAATATTACTGTTATTTTAATGCACTCCTATTTCAGTGATCTAATAAAAATAAATTAAAGGATAATCAGACTTATACTTCATGTTCCAGTAGATACGTTTTAGAATTTAAAGCTTATACAGTTTGTAAGAGAGGTTAATAAACAATTTAGGGTAGAAAACCTGATCAGAAAAATAAAAATACATTCTTTGAGTATACAGTAGTTTTTTCTTTAAGTAGAATGGGTCTAGATTGTGCTACATGTCATATTTCTCATCTCTGGACTTTATATTACTTTTTCAGCACATTAAAACTTATGCAGTGAAACTGAATAATGGCAAGTGTTTTTATACCCTTTTATAGCCATTTCTTTTTTCATAACCTCCCCCTGTTTCCTGTTAGCTAAACTATAAGCACCTTTCTGTTAATTTATGAAAATTATTGTTGAGATAGCACATTATCACTGATCTGTATGGCACTTCCAGCATGTTAGAAGCAAAGGTCCAAGCAACATAAAACACATCAAAATTCATTAATGTGGTATTGATTATTTTTTGGATAATTAATTTTATTGCAGACCCTTGAAAGAGATAATGAGCTGCAAAGGGAGAAGGCAAAAGAAAATGAAGAAAAGTTTCTTAATCTTCAGAATGAGCATGAGAAAGCACTAAGAACTTGGAAAAAAGATGTAGGTTTATTAAATTAAATGTTAGAGTATTAAAAGGTTTTTGAAATAGTCATCAAGCATTTCAGGTAATTCCTAAAAGCCAAGAAAATATTGCAGAAATAATACAATAAAAACAACCAATTTCTTTCCAGTACTGCAGTCTCTTCTAGAAAGGAATATTTTTAAAAGGTAGATTTAGGAGAAATGTTGACTTCTGTGCTCTAAAAGGTCAGTGCACTTCCTGCAGTTCTGTAGAGGAGCCCAGGGTATTTGGTGTTACCTTGAATTTAGCACTTAAATATTCCAGAATTACACACTTGCCATTACCTAGACATGGAAGCTGCTATAGTTTTTAATTTACATTGAATTTCATGTATTTTTCAGGAAGTTTGCAATTTTTTACAAAACTCATTCAGAGAATACCAGCATTTCTAGGCTGCGCTCTTGTACCCTGAAAAAACTATCAGTAAACTGTCGTATAGTAAAAAATGAATGTAAACCCACATAGGCTGAAGTGACACAGGCTAAAGGTACTTCTGAAGGGCCATCTGCCCAGGAAAAAAAAAAGCAACCTCAAACTACATCAGGTAGAGATGCTGAAGGCTTGCATTAAAGCACAGGTCCTGATTTGATGGGAATTATTCAATGTGGACTGGGAGGTGAAAGGGGATAAGGAAAGGTAAAAACCTGTATGTCCTCTCAGTGAATTTACCTTCAGTGTACACCTGAACAATAATTTGTCTTCAATATTTGCCATTCTTTCTACTACTTCATTACTTTTAAAGAATATTTCAGTAATTATTTAATCAAAAACAATTAGCAAAATATTGTAGCTGTAAAAATTGTCTGCAATAATAAATGCATGTTTACAAGTAAGAAAGATTAATATTTCTCCAATAAGACAAGATCAGTTTAGTGTGGAAACCAGACTTTAAGCAGCATCCGCTTAATAGTCTGTCTTTTTTTATTTCTATATAATTGGCACCTACTGCCAGAAAGGTTTTGAATTTGGTACGTAGATTCTCAGGGAGGCTGTGGGGAAATAATGCAAAGTTGTGCTTGCAATCCTGTTGTCCAAGGCTAACTCTTTTGAGTGCAGCCACTATGGAGATGACTGCAACCACAAGACTACAAAATAGCTGAACTGTTCTGATGCTCACTGAAGATTTGATCTCCCTGATTCCTAGGACAGTGTTATACCACAGTTTCCTGTATAGACATGGAAATTGGCCCTGCTTGTTTCTCAGGAATGTTTGCAACTATTCTTTAGAAGATAACTTCTTTTTTTTTTTTTTTTTTTCTTTTCCCTCTCCATATTTCTGCTATGGCTAACTAGAAATTTGGTCTCTTAATATCTTATAGTGTCATCATGGATAATGTTAACATTATACGCTGCTCTGAAAATATTTGTATATTAAATGAAGGCATTTCTGTAAAATAGCCCTTCTGTACTTTTTACCATCCTTTTTGTTCTAAATTGAAAAATGTAATTGTTACATACTCACTGAAGCAGCATTGGATACTTACAGAAGCGCCAAGCAAATTATTTGCTGTTGTAGTTTCTTGACAATGTAGGTAGAGAATGAATGTTGACTAGCATGTTTATCTTTAGGCCAAAAAAGGAAGAAGCTACAAATAGAAATCTCACTTTTTTGAGCCTTGCTACTTGAAGTAAATGGTGGAAAAAAACCCCAATTAATAAAAACTATCATCTGTAATTGAAATGTGTTTAAAACTTTGGTTTGAATGAGAGAGCTCAAAATTATCTTACTTTGTACAAATAAATTCCTTAGCATTTATACTTTCTTTTAAGGATTTATTTTAATTTGCTAAGCTGTTGATACCCCTGTAAAATACTGTTTTACGTATTTGAACGTGCAGTAAAGATCTGGGTTTGTGTGCTCTGTGTTCCCTCAATTATTACAGGAGGAAAACATGAGAAGAGAAATAGATACTATTAAAAATGAGCTGAATTCCCTTAAAGGAGTTCATAGACATCTTGAAGATTATCATCCTCCTCAGGGAAATCAGCATTCTGAGCAAGTGGAAAATCTGCAGGTAAGTGTCTCCAATAGCTGCAGTACTTTCCATTTCTTGTAAACATATTAGAGAATAAGACACGACAGTTTTTCTAATCTGGCTGTCATGTCTGCTGATCTTCCTCTGACATTGCTAAACCTAAAAATTTATCTGATGTGATCAATGATCCAAGATTCCATTAAAACCTACTGTATGCTGAGAATGTTCCCCTTTCATCCAGAGGAGCACTTATAGAAACTTGAGATGTTACCTCATTAATAACTGCTATCTATTTTGTATAAATTTTTCTTAATCTGTCTTTACTAAATCCTATTTCACAAACATATTTTGCAAGGGTGTTTCTCAAATACTGTGGCAGACCAATTGACTTCATATGTATATAAGTTCCCTGAAAGTGTGGAATTAAGTCCACTTCTACTCAGAGGAACTAATTTCAGCCTCTGTCACATGGGACAGATCAGAAGATTTGTTTTATCAACATATAGATTATCTAAGTTTGTCAGTCTTAGTTTTAAAAAACCCCAACCTTTATTTCACTTAGCATCTTTAAGGATCGTCGAAGGCATAGCAAGCTCAACAACTAATGAAAACAGGAGGTAAAAGATTGTTCTATGCAGTGCAGGTTGAACTAGAATTGAGCTCGCATTGCTGGGTGAACCAAATCCATGCTCAGCTCTGTATTCAGAGCACATGTGAGAAGACAAGAAGTGGTTCAGCACATGAAGATGGTCTTTTGGAGCAAAAGGAAGAGCATGTAGCCCTGCAGTTATGTGTTATCCCTTACTTAAACTGGATTGCAAACTTATATTCCAGTCTTTTCTAAGACTGAAAAAATGGGAAAAGTCATAAAGCATAAGAAAAATTTACCCTGTGCGTTGAGTGAATTCTGTTGTTGAGTATTGGTTATATTATTTTTTCCAATTAGTTTTTACATCCAAATAATGAATTATCCTTCAAAGAAGGGAAAACTCATTTTGCATGTGCATAATTTTGCTTTCAGTGTTAGAAAAATAGGAAGACACTAGAACTGTAAAGACAGATTTATTTTTTTTTAACTAGTCTTTGAATTCTCAGTAAAATGACAAACCATAATAAAATCAGAATTTAGAAGAACTTAAAATCAGTTTCTTCACAATGCAAGTATGTATGTATAGCTCATATATATACACACATATATGAATATATACACATACATATAAGCTGGTATGTGCTTAATAATGCAATGGAAGTTCAACTTGAAATAAGTACTCATCATGCCAAAGCTGTATGAATTCTACGAGGTATAATGCAAATTGTGTAACTGAAAAAAAAAAATTTAAAAAATCATTTCTTTGAATGAAAATAAAATATTAATTATGTTTAGGATGCAGAAGCAATGCACACAATCAGTCGTTCATGATAAACAGTACTTGTGTTTACCAAGATAACCCTATGTGTTTGAAAGTAGATAAGCTTAAAGTATATGCTCATAAATGGGAAAAAAAAAAAAAGTCTGAGATGTCTTCTAAATAGGTATCTTACATTATTTTATGGCAAATTGCCATACCACTTTGTGTTGTATGATCATCAGATTTCAAAAGCTAAGCAGGTTAGGCTGAGTCAAATGTCCAGTGGAACACTGCCAAGAAATTACAGGAGCTGCAGCAGATCATATTGATTATTCTAATTTGTGGAATTTCACCTTGTATCAGTAATGAGTCACTCTCTAGTAAAACATAAAAGGGCAAGGTGTTGGCTATGATTTAGATCTTGACTATGGCTTCAAGTGTTGCAAGGAGATATGCGTATATTTATTTTTACACTTAGTACAATCTGAAATCCCTGCAATTATTTGTGGGGTATGAAATTTAGAATGTATGTAAACTTCTTCGTACTGATCACCTGTGGAATAGTAATTAAACTAAAGGCTTTTTTAAAAAGAAAGGTACAATGTCAGGCTTCATTACAGACTCAAATTGCACTTCAGTTTAACTGATAAACTTCAGTTTAACTTCAGTTAAACCAGTTAACTGGTAAAATTAAATGCTTCGCATTTAGTTCAATATAGTTTGTAATACAGCTGTGTACCATTAGAGAATAGGACTATACCTAGCAATGGGTTATTGTAAATTTTTTTGTGTGTATATGTACAGGGAGATATGGTTTTGAGAAGATTTTGAATTTCATAGTATGAAATATTCTGTTGAGGGAAAGGTCATTTTAAGTGTATGTATCTTGCTTAGATTTTACTAAATCATAGAGAAAAAATTTAAAGTCCAAGTTTAATAGTTCTGATATGTAGGCACTTTAGTTTATGCATCTTGGATCTTTGAAGGGCTCAACAGCCATTTGAAGTTAATGGAAACTGGGTTTATTCAACCCATCTTAAATCTGGAAAGAAATCATGTAACTTTTCTCCCTTTCTAAGAACACTTCATCATGTTTGTTTCAGATGCATTCAGCAGTTCAACCCATACCAGCAAATGTGGTAAGTGCCACTGCAGTAGCTGTTTTATACCTGTACAAAAGAGTAACATGCACAGTGTTGTTTGGTGTTGCTGTCTAAAGAAACGGCTCCTAGAAACAAAAGATTATCAAAGAATTACAGCTTTAATGAAAGAAAAAGGAAATTGCTAGTATTTGTATTTGAAAAGAAAAGCTTGAAAATGTGATACCAAGGCTGTATATAGCCAAGAAGAAAAATTAACTAATTTAAAACTTAGAAAACAAAATAAAAGATGTAATATTTACAATTTCCAAATCAGAATGATATGGATAATGAAAATAAAACATTAGGAAAACAGAAAGAAAATTCAACTGAAACTTCAAATTTAAGGTGGAGTATTTGGCAGAGGAAAACTATTTTTAGGACCCTCCTCCATTGACCATGACTCCTCCCTCCCCTAAATCAGCAAAGCTCGGAGCATCAGGATGTTTCTGTGACCTGTAGAAAATTGTTTCCTGCAGATTTGTATTCTACACCATCTACTGTGCCACTGTTGCAATAATCCCATTTTTTACCAATGTTGTCTACGTGCCTCCCTCCATTCTGCAATGTACTCTGTCCTCCCCACACATCCAATGCCCAAGCACAGCACTTGTAACTCCCTCCCACATCCCAGTCTTCCTTTTGCAACATCTCCAAGTCACTCAAGTATCTTCAGCTTTTTCTCACATGTCTTATGGATTAAGCAATACCCCTGCTCCCTCCCACATGTCCCTACTTTTATATCCTATGTTCAGGGCAAGAGCCAGCATGTGCTCCTGCCTTCAGCTGCCAAACAGTTGATGATGCTAAAAGGATCCATCATCTTTTTTTTTTTTTTTTTTTTTGGTGGGGTTTTAGTAGGGTGTTTCTTCATTATTCAGCTCCTAGTTTTCACAGAACTTTATCAAATGCAAGTTTGAAAAATAAAGACAAATACAGCTGCAGTAGTAGACCAGTGGCTTAAAATTTAAGTAAATACAGCTTTCAGGCTTCTACTCCTGTTGAATTTGACTCAAATTCAGGATAAAAAGCCATCTGGGAGGGAATGAGGAACTGAATGACAAGAACTGCAAATTCATAAGCCTATGAAGCAAATACATATTTGCCTATGAAAAGAAGTTAAAAATCTCAGGTGGTTTGTTAGAAAAAAGTAGTGTTAATATGAGTATGTGTGCACATGTGTTTGAGTGTAATTAGCAATCATACAGGTTTTTTCTGCATGTAATTACTGAGCAGGTCACTGATTTAGCCAGCAGATAGAGGGAGCAATCCAGTCAGCACATGTACAACATACATTCCTTCCTCTGAGAAATTCTGTCAATATGTATAACTTTTCTCTGTGGACTGTAATATAGCAGGACCTAATTTCTTTCCTACTCTTCTAGGGTGTTAGTCTGCTTTTTTTTCTCCATTTACATTAACTTTGTATACTTCAGGTGAAGAATCCTTGTTTTCCATCAGAATTATAAAAATAATTTTAAATCTAAGTCCTGAACTTCAATTAATCAGTGACTGTAGTAAATTATTAAAATCTGTATAATCTTTTGTTCCTTTGTATGTCAGAGTGGTCAAGAACACTCAAAAGACAGTGAAATACAGGCTATTCAGAAAGAAAATGAGTGTATGCACTCTATAATAAGAAAAGACTGTAATTTTGGACATGAAGAAGAAATTGAAGTAAAAACCACAATGGACTACTCTTTAAGCACTGAGGAATTACAGATAGAACAAAGTAATAACCTTACACAGATAATAGAGATAAGTATTATTGTTGAAGAAAGGATAAATGTTTACAGATACAGTATATGATGAGAACGCTTGAATTCTGAATTAAATGTGTTTGTACTAACAACAGTAAAATTCTTGGTGGGAGTGGTGCTAATCTATGACATTCACAAAGCTCTGAATGAGAGCACAGTACTTCTAGTGGCTGCCCTGGGACATTCAGTAAGATCCGTGTGCTGTAACCCCTCAAGCTGTTGCAGTACTCTTGCTGCATGCCAGTTCAAGAAGCGAATAGGAGTTAGGAAGAACTGTAACATGTATAGAAGTGCTTGGAAGCAAAACCAAGGACTTTCCCTTTCCCATGAAACAATGAAAAAAGGCAGAGTGATTGCGCTGCACAGGACAATGAAGGTTTGTTCGTGTGGATAACTAATACTTTTCTATAGAAAGCACTTTGTGACTCCAGTAAGTAATTTTTTGAAGCCACCTAAAGGAAATATACTTAGTCTCTCATGCTCGGTCTCTAAAATGTAGCAAAGATAAGCGGAAATTTAAAAGCTTATTAACTGCAAAATGACTGCTTTAAAGGATCAGCGCTCACAGCCTTCAAGTGTATCTTTCCGAAAACACCTTTCTGATATTGCAATGCTTGTTATTCCTCGCTGGCCCACTACCATCAAGTCATAGCATATTCCTTTTGGTATGAACATAGTCCCTTGATCAGTTTTATTTGGTTTTGTTTTCTATTTAGCTAAAAATGCCCCTTTCAAAAATAAAAACAAATACAGTTGCAGTAGTAACCAGTGGCTTAAACCTTATGTAGATACACAGTAGTTGATTATGTGTCATAATTTCATAATGAAGACCCTTTCAATAGTAAGTCTGACAGATACCAGTTGGTAAATATTTCAACTATAAGCCATTATCTAAAATCTACAGAATGTTAATATACTTTGTTTGAACAGTTCATAAATATTTTGCAAGTTACCATAACACAACACTTGTCTACAGTAACTTTTTAATAGACTTGTCTGTGTAATGTATCGATACTAATCTTGAGTCTATTTCTCTGGAAATTTTAAACTGTCAAAATAAAGTATAATTTAACCTCTGGGTTATCTATCACTAACCAGAGAATACACTCACTCTAACAGATCTACAAGTTCTTGAAAACAGTTCTAAGGATGAAATTAATGTTGCTAGCCCTTATGAAGAAAAGCAAAGGGAGGCTTCTCCTAGGAATACCCTCTGCACAGATACTGATTTAATTACCCAAGGACAGACCTCAGAAATACATGTCACTGAGTGCAAAGAAGCAGAAAATCTAGAAGCAACACATAGAATGTTACTAGATGAAAACAAAGCAAATTTAGAACAAAAGCCACAGAACAGTACTGAGCCATTGGCACCATGCCACACACAAACAAGAAAGGTCTTTTTAGACAGTATTGATGCTGTAGGTGCCTACAAGAAAAATGGAAGTCAGGAGACTGACTGTAGCAAGCAAGAACCATGCAATACTACAGCTGAATCAATTTATACCAAGGCAGATAAAAAATCAAATACCATACAACACAACAAAAGCATCCTCACACCTCAAGCACCCAAACCTGAGTCTGAAGCGATTCTTTGCACTGAGAAGAATGCTGTGTGTGAGAGAAGTACAGACAATCATCAAGCTAAGGAATTAAGTTTTGGCATCGTATCTTCTATCAAAGAAAACTCTCAAACAGAATACCAAATTGGACAGAATACTGAAGTGGACTTGCTGGACAGTGACAATTATGTAGGCAACGGATTACATAAAACAGAAAAAAATTTCTTAAATCTGAGTGGTTTACCTAGAGATAGACTTCCTTTGAAACAGACACAGGTAGATGCTGAAGACAGAAATTATGATAATGCCAGAAACATGAACAGAAATGGCATACTGAGAAGTACTGGTGTTCCAGCAACTGATGCTCAAAATCCACCAACTGTTTATTTTGATAACACAAGTGGTGATGATGCCACAAAAGAACACAGTGATAATATGTGTCTCTTAGGTGCTTTCAATTTATGCCCCCACAAAAGAGAAAGAGGAATAAACGTGGATGACATGCGCAGCAAGCAACCTGAACAAGACAGTACTGAACAAACAGGGCACGATACAAATACATGTACTTTCAACGCTGAAGCCATAGCTCCAGTAAAGGCTGATGGTCTTGAAATAATTGCTGATAGAAAAACCCCAACAGACAGAATCAGCACAGATAAACTAATTCCATGTAAAAAAGTTAATGATGATATTCAGATACGCTCTAGCAGAAATGGACATTCCCTGGAGATTAATAATTCAACATATAACACATTGTTAAAAGAGAAAAAAGACTCACTGAATATTACAGTTCCAGGAAGGAAGTTTGCTGAGGGTCACCTGAAAGAATCATGTTCTTTACCCATGAGAACATCTGGAAATTTAGTAAACATAAGTGGAAGGTCATCCTTTGATCTTTCAACCTCAGATAAAAAAGCTGAGAAAACTCCAGTATACTTAAATTTTTTAGACCTCGGTTCTTGTTCAAGAGTAAATCAAATGAGAGGTCAAGCTACATGGACTCCAGCTTCCAAGGAACTTTCCCTTTTGAAAGAGAAACTACCATGCTTAGTGGAAAACACAAAGGTTATTTCAAAAACACAGTGTCAAAATCTCAGTGAAAATGTTGACAGAAGAGAAACAGGACTAGGTAAGAAAAATAAGCATTTATGTTTTGATGCATGTACTGAATATGCTTAGAAAAATTGTCAAAATGTGAAATTTCTGCATCTACATTTAGTACAGCATTAGAAAAATGTAAACCTGACATTTTAGTTATATGGCAAAAAAAAAAAGTAATTTCTCTGTTAATTTATAGTATAAATGCAACTAAACAGCTTTTGTTTGCTTAATTATCTGCTTAAACAAACTTTTTCTCATATTTCCCTTTGTGAAAGAAAAGCAGTGGAATGACTGAATTTTTATAGGCATTTCTAACCCAAACGTAGATCATACTCTATTGGGGCTCTGCATATATCTGAAAAGCACTGAGCAGGTTTTGGAAATCATTTAGTTCCCTTATTTTGCATCAAAAATAGAGTAATTTTTGAGCCAATAGATGCTGCTTTGAATTACACTTAGAGAAAGTTTACTTTTGTTATTTTATTGTACATCTTTAATTTACATGGATGCTTAAAACCATCTGAATGTGGTGAATGTGCAAAAGAAGTTTATATTCTTTGAAGCTCTGGAAAACACACCTAGCTGTTAAGAGTGCTAAAGGAGCTTTTTCATCTCCTACTGTTGGCACTTGGTGATTATTTGCTGAGTAATATTTTGCATATGCAAAACAGTAAATATGAACTCTATTCCACGTGTTTCTAAATCATTACTGAAATGTGGGAAAACTCTACTCTAGATTTGTTTTGCAATAAAATTAGCTGCTAGATTACCCTAATACTTATTTACTAAAGTACCATTTCCAAACTCAATCTTTTACTAAAGTAATAAAAGTATCATCTCTATTTCTGCAGTAAACTGACTCCAATACATTTACAGATATTCCTCTACTTCAGTAACTGGGCAGAGTAAAAGACAGTACAAGTGGTGCCTTTGTCTCTCAAAATCAAGCTTTTTTTCTGTTCTTTTTCTATTTTTTTCTATTCTTAATGCATGCTCTAAGCTTAAAGAAGCAGATATCTCTGCTTCTTGAAACGAAAGCCTTTGCTTTTGTAAGAAATGGAGCTTTGTGTGCTTAGACATTTTTCAAAAGAGCTAGATCCACAATATAGGGTGTTTGTGTCTATTTGAAGTTTTGTTGATGTAGTGTTTTGAGCTTTGCCCCTTGAACACACAAAGAACAGAAAGGACTCCTCTCTCTTAGTTTTGCAGCCAGTGGCAGTGAGAGAGCAAAACAGCAGTCTGGTTTCTTTATATTGTTCTGGTGTTAAGAATTTAGGTCTATAGGTAATTTTGTTTCTGTAGTTGGTCTCTTGCCTGTGTATATTTGTATACAGATGTACAATTTTTTGAAGTTTAGTGTCAGAAAGGTCTTTGTCCCTAAAACAATAGCGGTGGTAGCAAGGTAGCAGAATCCTGATCTCAGATGGTACATTATTTGTTTTAATGTGAATTTTGATATCTGTTTCAAGAAAATGAATGTATAGTTATGTGATGTCCTGCATGTATTTTTTCTGTAAGACAACAACACTATCTGAAGTTTTTCCATCTGTTCCTCCTCCTTTTGTCAGAAACCTTTCTGTATGGAAAGTACCGTAATTCCAGGAAGTGACTCTAGAGGTTCATCCAAAGGAGTTGGTAGGGATTTTAATTAATTCCCCAAATAAGCTGCCTAGTGACCAGTACGGTCACCAAACCTCTTGAATTCTAGCAAAATGTCACAGTGAGGATCTTGGTCTGGATGCCTGATGTGCCGCTCACTCTCATCAGACTAATTTAGATAGATCTTTACTTGAGTTTGCTGACCTTTCTGAATCCTGCTCCTCTCTCAGAGACTAGAGAACCTTACTGTTAGGGCACCCAAGACTTAGTTGTTGTGGTACTCAGTATTGCAACTTCCAACATTTATTGTGGTTGGGTTTTGTTTTCAGGTATTTTCCCAAATGGTAAACCTGGAGTGGAATCCATGGTGTCCTTAAATTTTTCATTTGTTTGGGGTTTTTTGTTACTTACTGAAGCACAGTTTAGCCATATGGGAGACCTAGAGGTGAAGAGCACTGATGAAACAGTAAGCCTATCTGAGGGAATTCCTCTTACTGCCTAACCACAATGCAATTTACTATTTATACAACTCTGATTGTATACGTCAGTGTATCTACATCAGTAAATGGAGGAATGAACTGGGAACGAGCAAGATCTTCCTGGAGAACTCTTAAAAAAAAAAAAAACCAAACTGATAACCACTTTCCTCTTCCTCCCAAGAGAAAACGGCAGTATTCTTAAGTAACTGTTACATAAACCACAAGGTAACATGTATTTTCATAGCAAAACAAAGATCTTATTATTGTAGCAGTGATCAGGCATCTGTGTAGTGACAAAACAGCTACTGTTTGTATTATGTGTAATTGTGAAAGTATGCTTATGTTTTGATCTTGCTAGGAACATGATGTTGGTTTCAACAGAGGCTACTAGCAGTGCATAAAGCCTTATACTCTGCTATGATAATCTACTTACTTGCCTTTCCTACCTTTAGTAGATAGCCATAGCCTGATTTCCTGAAATATTAGGTATAGCCATTTACAAAAAGACTCATTATTTAAAATGTTCTTTGTTTGACTAAAAATCTTTTGTATTTAGAATGTCTTTTTTATTACAAGTCACCTTGGAATATGATGTCAGGATGGCGGTAATTATGTATTTTATTATCATTATCAGAAGGTAGGTCTTAAAGTAATACTGTTTGAAAAAATATATGCAGTTAGAATATTCAGAATACATTTTCTAGAAATCACAATTTTGTCATTAACTTAATATGTGAAAATGACATGAAACATTTTTAATAAGAGTAGAAACATACCTCATCTTTAGAGACAAAATAGATGCAGAAGTATGTGAAAGAAAAAAAAATGAAGAGATTCCGTGATTTAAAACAAAAATATTTGATTTTTTAAGATCAGAGGTAAACCAGAAGTTTAGTTACTTTACAATTAGTGCCTAGAGACTAAATTGCAGTTGTTACCATTTCCTTTTTGTCAATCAGGTTCTACCAGTTTTAACAGAGCTGCCGACACTTTGAATACCTCTAGTATCCACCAAGACCCCCAGGGAGATCCTAGTGAAGAATGGAATGCTATAGCAAAGACTTTTTATGATTCTTCTTTTCCCACAGAACATGTAAGTCAATTAAAAATATTGCGGACCAGACCTCAGTGAGCTAATTCCACAGATATTTGTACAACTGTACGCATCTGGATACTTTAAGACTGAGTCAATCTCCAAAATAATATCAAAAGGGCAACAAGGCACCATTTTTCACAATTAAGGTTGATAGAAAGCAGCAGGAAAAAGTCACAGCATATGAATCACACAGATGCTAACCAGTCTGTTTGGGAGGGGAGGAAGAGGGTAGTTCATTGTGTACCCTTATAAAAATCACCACCTACAGTAAAACTAGGAGTTAAAAAAAAAAAAAAAAGAAAAAACAGTAGTATGCAAAAGTATAAAAATGTTGGTTCCTTTATTACACAATCAGAAAGTGTTATTTAAAATAATCTGTGAAAGACTAAAAATTCAGCATATCTATGAATTAGAGCCTATTTGTTTATTCTAAGCTGCAGTTATGTGATACCATATTTAGAGTTATCTTATTATTTAATAGGATGACATTACACAAACGTGTAAAAGCAGTGAATTAAAAAGAAACCTGTTGTTTCCCTGTAAGAAAACTTCATTCAGGACAGCACTAGCAGTGGCTCATACTGCATTTTTAGATCTATGTTAGACTGTGGAGCTTGAACAGCCCTAACTGCTGTATTAGGATTTGACCTAATGCTAAACGTATCACTCAAGACAGATACAATAATTTAAAACTGCAGTTGGCCTTCTTTTTCAGAAGAGGTTCTAGAGGTATTTGTCAGGTAGTTACAGCTGTCAGCTTTGGATGAGCTTTGAGGTCAGGATGTGTAGTGTTTTCAAGTGACAACTTGCTGACTTCAGCGGACTTAACCAGCTCTCATTGCCATTAGCATTCACATGCTCTGAAATTAAAAAGACTGATGTTTCAAATTACTCAGCTTTCCTAGTATGACTCTACTTGGGAATGACAGGTGGATTTTTCGCCAAACACAGTGGTGGTATTTACTGTGTGTCTCTTGCTTCTTCTCACTGAGCTGGGGCCAGGAATTGATCAGTTGTTAGAGCACTTTGCTCGCTCTGCTTTGCTTGCTGTCCCACGCTCTCCATCTTTCTCAGCTGAGAACTTCTGGCAATGAATGAACTAAAATACCTAATCTACAGCCAATACAAAGCTGTATTTCATTATCTGATTGTAGTTACATCTACTTGGTCACCTCCAAACTAAAACTCCTTGTGTGCTGGCTAACTAAAAGCCGAGATGGACAAGAACAGAATGCCTTGCTGGTTTGACCTTAGATTATTTTTCAAATATTTAATCTATGAAATCTCAGCCTGGGATATTGCAGACCACTCCCTCCCTTCTGTGTTGGTGTCATTCTAATACGGTCTGTCTTCAAATTTGTCATTTTTATGACCGATATGAAAAAGCTGTTGGGAGATTAAAAATAGGGTCAGCAGTCTTTTTTTTGCTGCTCAGTTTATTTGCTTTGACTAACATGTATGATTATAACTAGAGTAGACTTATGCCTTCTACAATTTGGGTAATCTCATTCAACTAAAGTATGGTACTCTAAAAAGTGGTAAAAATTAAAAAGAAATGCTACAGGTGCACTTAAAATTCTAGTAAAAATATGAAGAACTGTTTTAAACATTAGTTTGTATATACCTGAGTACCAAGGTAAGGATGAATATGCATCCTCAGCTCAGTTTAAACACAAGTCCTTAACCATGCAATCATAGCAGCAATTAACGCGTTTTACGCACACGTCCCCCATAGTTTGCCATATTACTCAGTGCTGGCAGTAAGACACATTTTACTTGTATTTTATTGTGAAAATGTTGAGGCCTTTTAGTCTGACAGCTGAGATTCTTTTTTTAAAAAGCTTTATTCTAAACCCACTGTTACAGAACTGTATTAAAATGCTATATATATAACCTAGCTGCAGTTACTTCTCCAAAGAGATCTAAACGCTTGTTGTCTTCAGTAAATCCAAGTAACATGCATGGCTTTATTTCACTGGAAAATTTCACTTCCACAGCTGGAAGACCTAAATGAAAGTTACTTCCTCATTGAAATGGAGATTACAGTCATTGTTGACCTGAAGTATCAGTATATTCAGCTGCATGGCAGTAGTGTTGTTACAGATGCAATAGGCTAAGTGAAAAATTTGCATGAAGTTTATTGTTCATATTTCAAACTTCAAGAAACGTTTGTGCACTGGGGAAGGAAAGTTTTAGCACAAAATTTATACGCTAAAATAAAGGCAGGCCTGATAAAGACTTTGTGGTTGGGGCCTAGTTGCCTAATATTAAAAAAATTTCCCTGATGTGTTGCCATAGGTGTTTGATTTGGATAGATATGAACCATCTATCAAATAGTAATTAAAAATATTCAGAGAACAAAAAGATCTTTAACATAAAAAAAACCCAACCTATTACAGACCTTGCATTAGTTAATGATGTTTGCTTTCTAATCTATATAGCAAGGTAGAGAGGGAGTTAACACTATAAACCTCATGATTTTGGGTTTTGTTAATCAAATGCTGCATAGCAATAGAAATGTCAATTGCAACATTAAACTGCTTAATTAAACTATTTATTTTGCTAATCTGCATTCTAGTACAAGGTTGTCTTCTTTTTTTAATCATACTCTTCTGTACTAAGTCTTATGTTAAGGTTTGGTTTATAAAAGTATGTATGTTTGTCATTATCAAGTTTTCTAAATTAAAGCTGAAGCAAGCACTTCAAATTAAACCTATTTTTTCCAATTGACTTATCTTCTTGTTCACACTTCCTTCTTTGCTTAATGCTTAGCAAAATCCAACAATATAGACTTTTGTACCTGAATTTCATGGGATTATTAGTTAAGTTTGTATTCTGTCAAGTGAAAGAAGGATTTACTGCTTTACAGCACGAGCAGAAGTCTTCTCAGACAACTGTACCTCCAGCAAGAAGCGAAAGTGCACTTGGAGCTGAGGACAGCTGTTCTATTCATAACTCCATTATACAAAACCAAATAGAAGAAATTGAGAAATTCCTGAACTTGGGAAGACTCCATTCAGCAAGAAAAAGAAAATATGAAGGCGGCCAGTGAAGATCAGTGGCAGAAGAGAAAAAGCATGTATGTGTCTTTTAGGCACAGATTCATCACTTATGTAAACCAGATTTGTAGAGGTATTCCCATAGAATATGGTATATGTGCACCGTGGTTTCATGTTTAATACAGCGTGTAGACCCTTTATGTTCAGAAATGGATACATTCCCTAACTAATAATGTTAGTTCTCTGTTTCTGCAATCAAATACAAGTTAGTATGGGTTTTTCACAAAGTTAAAGAGTTCACAAGTTGTTAAGTTAATGTTTTAATATCCATTAAGTAAAATTAAACGATTGAGTACCCTTCTGCTCCTCAGAAGTTTTGGCTGAAATATTTCAATTTGGTTTCTGTCAGACTGCTTACTCAGTTTTCAAGTAAAATCAGCTGCAACTGTTTCAAAATACAATGGTTTCTACAAACGTTTATAACTTACAGCAGCTCTTAAGTGGCAGAAGAACAGGAAAATCTTCTCCTTCACTGCCAAATTAAATATATCTGTTGTAGTTGATTCTGTATGTCTGAAGAATAAAGGACCAGGCATGATTTACAGAGACAAGGCAGCAGGATCTTGCTTCAAAAAGCTTCACTTCTAACTGGTTCACATCTTTCCTCTCTTAGGGTATAAGGGAAATTTTCTCTTACTTCACAGTTACTTGCACTATCATTTTTCTGATCTCCCTCCCTTCTTCCCCACGCCTCTTGGAAAGAAAGATCTTCATATTGTAAACTTAAACAAGAACAAAAGAAGCATAACCAATATTGCTACTGTTTGTTGTTGCTAATTATGTAAGAAAATCAACAGAAGATATTTTCCCATATTTGTTTTATTGCTTTTTTGTGTTGCAATTTAGAATATTCAGCTTCTTTAAACCAATTGTATACATTTTGGAAACATTCACAAATTGTCAAAGTTTTGAATAAATTTCATCTATAGTGACATTACTAGGTCAAAAAAAAAAAAATTTAGGTGTCTGAGAGACTGAGGAGACTGTTTTTCACTTGATTCAAATTTTGTTTCCAGGTGTTTAGAGTGTCATACAATTGCTGCCATTGCTGCTTCCCAAAAGTCCGATGTGTGCTGTGACTAGAGAAGTAAAACAAAATTGGAAGATGATTACTAGATGTCATGCTCACCTAACAATTCTGTTATAGCTTAGCTTTACTCTCACACATGAATAGGAAATTTTTTATTTTCTCTATATAAAGGGCTGTCCTTTACCAGTTAGAGAATTCTGTAGCCTTCCCAAATATTTAAAGCAACAACAGTCATTAGTATTCTTGTCACTATTAGGTCATTAAATGAAATGTGCTGGAAAATAGGACTCTTTCATTAAATAAGCTAATCACATTCAGTGTGAGCTTTAATAAAATTATGATAAATAGCAACTATTTAACTACCAGCAACTGATAGGAACAATACCTTGCTTCTAGTTAAAATATTCTACAAATATAAGTGAAATAATTAGAACACACTATGTTCTGCAAAATGCTATGAAGAATTAAGTCTTACCTGACAACTACTTTCCTCTGTGTCTGATCTATTTTGCAGTATACCATCTTTGTCTTTACAGCTGCAAAAAAGCAATGCTGTTTTGAGCAATATTTTCAAGAGTGCAAAGGTATCAAACTGCATAAAAACTCTTCAAAATTAGATCAATACAAATATAAAACCACCGTAGTTCTCTTAATACTGTTTTGCTGTTGGTTTTAACAGGCTAGTAGGCAGAAAAGCAAAACAATGTAACAAGATGAAGGTCATGCACGAATCCTATTGTTTGGTGCCAATCTATTAAAGCAATATCCTGTACAGTTTTTATAACTTCTCTCCCCTACAAACACATCCTGTTTTCATGACAGCAAACAAAACCAGATGACAAATTAAACCTGCAAACAATTTATTAGATCTAGAAAGAATTATATGAAATACAGTTGCTGTCACTGAAAAGAAAAACACTATTTAAAAGACAAGAGTTAGGTATGTCTTTCAGCATGAAGTTTTGCAGCTATATCTTGTAATACACAGAAATTAAAAGTTAATTTTTCTGAATATTTAGCATGAGCTTAGAAGACTATAAAAGGTATTGTTCATTAGCATTGTGTGAAGTACGGTACTGCGGTTCTTACCATCAATAACAAATGCTTCTACGTCATCAGCACCAATCTGAAGTTCCTGTTGCATTGTGTCAAATGATATTTCTTTATTCTCTACAGCCATTCCCATGAAAGTGAGTAGCCTCATTTTTGCCATATTGTGTTCGTGCAACAAGCCTGTGTAAAAGTGGTGATAGTTTATGGATATGAATTATAATTCAATAATTCAGTAATTTGTTTTTCATGTTGTTATTACTACATATGCTTCCTATAATTTAAAATTTATTTCACATCATGAAAATATTCCACCTGTCCTTATCAACATTTCTGAGGTAAAACATTAATTTCTGCATCTTCCTTGTGTTTTGCTAAAATAGCTAGTTTAGTTCTGAATTCATCAAGATTCAGTCATGGTCAGTAAAAGCTAATAAATATCTACAGAAGTGAAGCGCAGAAATTTTTTGAAACAGTAGAAACATCACCTTAACAGAATTTTAGTTGGTGAGTGGGCAAATAAATTCTTCAGTTGCATCATCTGGAAGAACAGCAATGCAACAACTAATGGAAAACACGTGATTAGTAATATCAAAACCTTCTTACACAGCCTCACTGCTCATTCTTATGTAGTTGCTTGAAAATAAACCCCTCTCAGTAATGGTTTCATGACAAAATATTTTTGTGCCAGAAGAATGTTTTGGCACTGAATTAACTGTTTATACCACAGCATAAAAAGCATCATGGGTCACAAAAAAAAAAAAAAGCTCTTCAAGAACTGAGGCAGAGATATTAAAAGTTTGATCTTTTACATGATTTTATACATGGCAACATGAGGAAATGAGCCAAAGGTTCGCACATCTAAATCAGAGACTGTTTGCATGGAAAAAAAAAAGTCTAGGTCAACAAAGTTAAGACATTCAGAGGATCCAAGACATTTCTTAATCCAAGTTCTGTGAGGTACCAACTAAGATTCGGTGGAAGTTTCTTTAAAATGAACGTCAATCATTTTGTTTTGGTGTGACATTAGAAGCATTCATATTGCTTCAGTAAACATTTAAGTTTGGAATTTATAACATCCATACACTAATAGGAAAGCACATTAGTGCAGGACATCATGTTGTGTTAATTAGCTATAATTATGATGCAGGTTCCCTATTTGGCACTGATTCAACAAAAATGTGATCACCATAATTCATACGAATGAGGAGCACCAGCAACTATACCTAACTGGGTTTAATGGAACTCTACAAGCATCAAAAAATCAATTAGCACACATTAACCCTAATTAACAAATGCAAATGAGATGCTGATTAACTTTCCGAAAAAGACTGCTGATAATACCAGATTAAATGTGGACATGTTAGGGCGATTCAGTTGACACAGATAATGCTACCGCTGGCCTAAGTTGTCAGCGTTAATAAACCAACAAATTGTAACCAAGTGATGCCACCTGTAGGAGCCTTCACTGCACAGCTTTCACAGACTAGTTTTAATTGGTCCTGAGCCATCAAAAGGTAGAACTAAAGCTGATGCTGTGCTGTCAGTGAAATCCTATTATTAATATCCTTTATTTTAAAGCCCAATAGCTTGGCAAGTTAGTTAAAAAAAAAAAAAAAGAAAATCTTTAAAGCATGGTTAAAATCTATTAATTTTTGGGAACAGATCATAGGTGTTCTGAAGAATTTTTGAATGCCTCATTTAATATTTGTCTTGTTTTCTATAACCAAACTGCCCTTGTTTTTTCAAAGGCATGGCTGAAACACACAGACCAAGCTCCTAGCATTCTGGTCTGCACTGCCTCAGAGTCTCTACCTTGTCTACTGCTCGAAGACATACAGAATTTTCTGAGTGTGCCATAAAGCAGGTGAGAAATCAAGATAACTGGAAGTAAGGCTGTCTTTTAAAACAGTTACACAGATATTTAAGGATTTTACTAAGGTTACGTGAATACTAGATGTATTGAAAATGCACACACTGTGTATTCACAGAGGTAAACACAGATACAGGGAGGCAAAGCAAAAGAAATCATGACTACCGTATATTCTACGATTAATACTATGTATACGTGTAATTAATCTTCCATAAATTTATTCAAATGTTAGCATAACAGTATTTTCAGCAAATACTTCTGTGGACAAATAACTAACAGATAAGCCATTTCAATACATGAAAATTGTTACAACACAGAAAACAATTTCCCCTAAGAAAGAAAGGCGTAAGATGTCTACACAATTAATGTTCAAATACATATGACAAAAGGTACGCTATATCCTCTATACATTTACAAACTATCAAAAACTTGCTGCTAATTTTATTTACAAAAAATCATATTGCTTTTTCCATCATTTTAATACCCAAAGTACCAGCATTTTAAAGCTTTGAGGGTAATTATTCTCAGAATCATACCATACTCCATTACACAAAATAATGCATATGTTAAAAGGCTGCACTAAACTCTGCTTTAGCAAAACTATGCCTTTCCTCAAATGCATTCAGCCAGTGTTCAAGTGTCACTTCAAAATCAAAGTTATAAAAAAAAAAAATCTGATTTTTTATGGAAACATTTATTCATTACCAATATGTCAAAACCTTAATGCAGTAATAAAAAAATCTGCATCATTGAGCAATTTCTGCATTGTCACTGACCCCTGTCCTAAAAAGCTGGAATATAAAAAACGTAATTTTAATGCATGCAATAGCTTATGAACCAGTGCTCCTTTGAAACAGTCAATTACACATCAATGGGGGAGTGTCAAAGTGTTAATTACTACTCCTTTTTTCCACAGTGTGTAAATAAAGAGGGTGCTGACATTAACATTCCATCACATTGCTTCATGTGATGAAACAAATTAACTGGGACAGACCGTGGCTTGCTAGGTCTAATGCATTGGCACACACAGACACACACAC